CTTTACTCAACACAATTTTCTTGGTTCAAAGTTAGCAAAATAGTACTTGAGACACAACAAACTAGACTGTACATATCATGTTGGGCTTGCCCTGAAATCCAAAGTTACAATCAACATGGGGAGAACAAAGAGTCTCACCTAAGAAAGACAAGGAACTAAGCAAAAAAACAGAAATAAATAAAAAAATAAAAAGAGTTACAATCTTCATTTTTGTATGGCTGAGGCAACTTCCACACGAGACCCATACATCTTCACCATCGACGCGTGTTTTTGACCAGCAAGGTGAGAGGCTAACACCGCATCACCAATGCAAACCACATTACATAATCTGCATTCACGAACGGCCTCAGCTGTTGCTCCTTCTCCCAAAACCCTTCTTCTCTTGGTCTCCAAATCATCAATACGGGACCTGGCCGCCCTTTTACGTGTTTTCTGAGAATGGGAGAGTTTAGGCTTCTCCGGATTTTCTTCAGGCCCAATTATCGTTTGATTGGTTGGATCCGGGTTCAAATCGGACCCAATGTGTGGTTTATCCATTGGAGTTGATGTGAAAATGGGCAAGGGTGGAGGATGAATAACCGGGTTAGGAGTAGGTAGGGGTACAACAGGAAATTTTTCTTTCAACTTCTCGAGGTTCTTTTTGTGCTTCTTCCCCAATCTGTGTTGGTTGAGGTCATCTTCGGAGGTACAATCGATCTTGCAGACCTCACACCTTACAGATTGTACAATTGGAGTCTTCTTGGCCTTGGAGCCATTTTTCTTCCTTTGGGATTGAGCATTTGGATTTGTAGGTAAACCCTAAGACACAAAGGAAACAAAATACTTCTAGATTATATTAAAATTAAAACAAGAAAATGTTCGAAAATGAATCCCACAAATTGCCGTAACAATTTAAAAAAGTACATTAGAACAAACATAATTTCTACTCATGGTGGACTAATGACGAGGATTAATTATGCTATTTCTTAATGCATTGTCTATCTCTCACAAAACAGAACTTTGCAACACACACATTTTCCTCTTCAAAGGGTACAGCGAAAAAGAAAAAAAACATATATACCCTCGATGCAAGTATTTGAAACATTATTTCTAGTTGTTATTTCTGTTCTATTTGGATCTTCATTCTATATTATTACCAAGCATAAAGGCATTAAAAATAGTGTCTTTAACCTTGAGTCATTTGTAATAAAATAGTGATACCCACAGAAATCCCCAAATCTATAATGTATCAAAAAACCATCTTTCATTCTGTCGTTAATCATTCACGCACAACCGAGCAGTCAATACAAAATGTCAAAATACAATATACCAAGAAACTTGAGACGGGTGCAAGCTCAACAAAATCTCATCAGGACTTTATAAAATCCAACATTTCAAGATCTGGCATGTTTATAAACCAGATCGACAAGCTCCGAACTTGCGCAATCTCTGAAGGAATTGATTTTGGTCACTCATTAAGCAGAATTCAAGTTACAAATTACAAAACCTAACACAATCACAAAAAGAGAACTATTTCACAGGTACAAATAACACTCTAAATCTAAACAAAAGACCCACAGCATTTAGAACCATCAATCGACCTCAGAGACTAAAAATTTCACATTCCACAGCAAAAGTAAAACAAAATTTGCAGAAAATGAGATATATATTAAAAAGAAAAATACCACAGCAAATGGAGTGGATCCGAACGGCGAGATAACAGCTGCCTGACTTGTGTTAAGGTCCTGAAAATAAGAAGCACCATTTGGGCTCGCATAATTAGCAGCGCCTTGTTGGGGTTCATACCCGAGTGGTTGCTGCGCGTATTGAACGGCCACCGGCTGCGGCACATACGCCGGAGCAATTCCCAGCGGCGGACGAGGCTGACTGAGGTGAGAATCAACGCCGGCCGGCTGATAGTAATAATGCTGCGGCACAGACGCCGTATCGATTCCCGGCGGCGGCGGCTGAGGCTGGCTTTGAAGCAATTTGCTGTGAGAATCAACGCCGGCCGGCTGATAGTAATTGTAATTGAAGTTGTATGTGTAATGAGGGGGATATTCGGCTGTGGATGGATAAGGATTAGGGTTAGGGTTAGGGTTTGTGGGCATCTCGCCGGCGTTAAAACGAAAATCCATTGTGGTGGTAGTGCCAAATTTCGGAGTTACAGTAAATTACTATGACGATTTATTTATGTTTATTTTATTAATAAGCATAAATGGTGGAAAATGGAAATGGGGAGCCACGTGAAAGTAGAGTGACGTCGTTTCGTATAATCTGACTCTATTTATGGTTAAATAAATGGTTGGAATCTAATCAAAATAACAATAACTACAATTTTTTTTTTTTTTAATATATCACCTTAAAAATACATTTTTTTTTGGTACATGGACCTTCCGGTTTCCGGATCCACAGGGGAACCGACTAATCCGGAATCGAGCCGGGTAGGACCACAAGGGCGGCAAAGTTCTCCCTCAAGAGTTTTAACACTGCTGCATTCCCAGGACTCGAACTCGAGACCACTGGTTAAGCTGGAAGAGACCCAAGCCATCTCATCCAAGTGCTCTTGGGTACCTTAAAAATACATTAACTAAAGTTTATGCAATTTGTTTCTAAATGAAAAGGTAAAGTTTGTAGAGTATTGTTTGAAGTAGGGGTGCAACGCACGAGTTCGAGTTCGAGCTCGAGCCATAATATACCTTGTCAAGCAGCTCGAGATACACATTAAATTACCAAAATACATTTTATTATATATATTAGCATAGATGTTTAATGATAATTTTACCTTTTCATTTAAAAATTTTCGTGCCGAGCTCGTGCATTTTGATTTTAAGTCGAGCTCGAGCAATTATAATTTTCTATTGAGTCGAGCTCGAGCAGCTAAAAAAAAAAAAAAAAA